ATATATATATATATATATATATATATTTAAAAAGAAATATGCTACGCTGCCATGTGACCCTCACAAACACGTCGAGCAGTCGTTGTTTCACACAGTTGCCGTCCCATCTCTACAATAAAGTTTTCTGTTCTTCCTTCTTTTATTGTCACACTTTCAGAGCCGATGGGGAGAGAGAGGGAAGAGTGATTGATCCACCTCTGTGGTTTAGCATTAGTGGAGGGGAGAGATGGGATTGAGAGTTCAGTCTCTCTGAAGAAAATCAACTTCATTCTGGATTCTGAATTCAAGCACAGACACTCAAAGAATTTACAAGTAAGAGGTGAGGAGAGGGTCAACACTCTAACTTTCTTATTTTTTCATAGATAGATAGATTCAAAGAATTTTACATCTATCATCTATCTATCTATCTATCTATCTATCGTTCTGTCGTATTGTGTGTAGGGGATGAGGTGTTCTGGTCGAATGGCAGTTGCAGCTTAGCAAAAGAGTAACTTCAGTCATGATTGAGCTGTCTCTATGAGATGTGCTGTTACAGAACAACAGACCTTTGTAAACCCTGTCAAAACATTCCACATTTTGTAGAAGCAGCATTGTGGCACTGTGAGTCCTCACCCTGATCAGTGCTCCAGTTCTCCATGACTTCCGAAAGGTGATACGTGTAGCGCACACCCTTGGACCCACAGGCGCAGAACTGTCAAAGTGACAATGAACAAAACACTGGGTTAAACATTACAAATGCAACCTGATATTTTGCAAATACACTCTACTGCTCAAAAGTTTGAGTTTTTTAAATTAAGTCTGTTATGTTCACCGGCTGCATTTATTGTATCAAAATACAGTAAAAACAGTAATACTGTGAAATATATTTACAATTTAAAATAACTGTTTTCTATTTTAATTTATTGTAAAATGTCAATTATTCCTGTGATGCAAAGCTGAATTTTCAGCATCATTACTCCAGTCTTCAGTGTCACATGATCCTTCAGAAATCATTCTATGCTGCTCAAGAAAGATTTATTATTATTATCAATATACAAAAACAGTTGTGCTGCCTAATATTTTTGTGGAAACCGTGATATATTTTTACTGGATTCTTTGATTCAAAAGAACTGCATTTAAAAGTCTTTACTGTCAATTTAAATCAAACTAATGTGTTCTTTGTGAATAAAGTATGATTTTCTTTGAAAAATCTTATTGATCTAAAACTTTTTAACCTTAGTGTAAAACCTTGCAAAAATGTGCTATAAATATGTGCTGCTTTACTGTTAACATGTAAATTTTGTGTTTCAATATTTACTGTGAAGTCAACATGAGAACATATTAAAATAGGCAAAGAACCTTCACAACACTGAAACTCATTCAGGTCTGACTTGTGTGATTCCTGGTGGATGAGTTTTTTGTCCTTTCTCTCTCTCTCTCTCTCTCTCTCTCTCACACACACACACACACACACACACTCTCCCATGTTTTCTGCACTTCATCTCTGCTCAGTCTTGGTGTACTAATCTAGTTCTTAAACATGGCATTGTGCACTATGAAGATGGTTGATGTTCCCCATTTATAAAGACTGGAATACAATACACGGCTTTTGCACAGATTTACAATCTGGAGGAGTTGATGCTAGTTGCTACAAGTCATGGGTCAGTCTGCAGATTTTGGATAGCTGGAGTTGACTGATTTTACAGAAAATTACATAATGTGTGATGGGCAAAACTGGTTTTTTT